GTAGATACCTTAACTACCACTCTTACCATAATAACTCTACCAAAGTCAACTTAATCAAACAGATGAAAAATAGAGTAATTAAACTATCAGATCCATCATTTCATACAAAAAACCTACAAATCCTTCTGAAACTTTTTATTTCAAATTCTTATCCAACACCATTAGTAAATAAGATTTTGTTTAACACTATCCATAACGAAGATACTTCACCTTCCATCGTGACTAACAATGCTGATCCTGATGTCTTAAGTAGGAACCCAGTCTCGGATACTCCTATCAATAAATATTTTTCATTACCCTATTTCAGAGATATCACTCCGGGGTTAACAAGGATTCAAAAAAGTTTTGAAAATAGCTTTTCTAATAATAATAATAACATTAAACTTAATGTGGCTTGTAGATCAGCCCTAACAATTAATAATCTTTATTCGAAGGTAAAAGATAAGACTCCCATAGATAGGCTTAGTAATATTGTCTACAACATTCCATGCCTCTCTTGCAACAATTCCTACATCGGCCAAACATCTCAATTATTGAAATCACGTATTACACTACACAAAAGTGATTCTCGACTTCACCCTGACCGCTGTGCATTAGCCAAACATGTCCATTCCACTGGTCATCACATGGACTATACGAACACTACAATTCTCCACCGTGAGAACAATAAATCTAAAAGAGAGTTCATTGAAATGTCTTATATTTTCCTTAACGATTTTTCCATCAATGTTAAGAGTGACATTAAGAATCTAAGCGATATATACCACTTCTTACTTAAATCAGATACCAAGAACAATACAACATCACAGATAACCAACTTGACTGATATATCTATTAACAACTAACCTACTTTAATAATAATTTTCATTAACAAAAAAAGATAACATTCTTTTGCTTTTCTTAGATACATCTTAATAAGATATTATTACAATAATACATGAACAATATACTAATTAAAACAAAGAATTTCAATTAAGAAAATTCTAAACTAATATCTTCCCAGACTGGGATCTAACTTCATCGGTTTTACCAATGAACCTTAACGACAATGATATCAAAAGAACTACTTGTAATTGTTTCGGCTCTTGCGTTCTATAAAACAGAAGCTCACATTCAAACTTTACAACAATTAAAAATTTAGTTATTGCCGACAATTCAAAGAAATACTTCCTTTAAATGTAGTTACATTGGGCTTTTCGATTGTCCTTGGGTAAACCTTTGCGTTTTAAGTTCAAAGCTACCATACATTTCCAACGTTAACAAATAAACTTTTTTGCACATAGTAACAAAAAAACACCACTATGTTGTTACTAGCTAAAGTTTTTTAACATCATAACGTGACATTTCTAAAATTTCACGGTCAGGTAAATGTTTTTTATTAGATAATATATGGTAGCTAATTATAATTTATTCTCTTTCAGCCCTGAAGAAGCCAAATTCTCTTTGGCGAAAACGTTAGGTGAAATAATTGATACACATTAGAGTTTTTTTTTGCAGATTTCCCCAATATTTAAGAGTTTACTATATATATATATATATATATATATATATATATATATATATATATATATATATATATATATATATATATATATATATATATATATATATATATATATATGTTTAGGTTTGTAGTTTCAACTAGTCCTGAGTAATTAGGCCCTCATTGAACTCTATGGTGACGAATAGAATCGGGTCGCTCTAGTGTCAACGTTGGGTAAAGTTCATAGGACTTTGTTTGAATTTCGTTGTCATGAATGGTTCTTGGGGATATTGTGTTAGGGGTTGTTAATACACACCTATAATGTAGTTTTAACGAATGGTTGTTTTTACTAATACTTGAGAATGTAGATAAGTAGTGTTAAAAGTTAACTTGATCTGTAAGGCTATAGAATTAAACTTAAAATGTATACCTTTTTAATCTTTGGTTTTTACTAAATTAACATACATTTTCTCATTAAAAGGAAAAAAAATGTATGACTTCGTCCCATATTCTTCCTTCCATATTTTTATTTCGTCCTTGATTTTGTTCCAATTCCTGAGCAAATGATCCTTCAATTTTAACGTATCAACGTTCATTGTCGACCCAGCGTTAGATCGTTTTGACAAAAAAAAAAAAATTCCTTTTTTTTTGCTGGAGATGAGGGAGAATGTAGCGTTTACGCTACTGATTAACCCCTCAAGAATCGATTCCGCCAGCGATCGATTTTTAAATCGACATTTCTCCACTCACGCGCTGGGAGCGCTTTGAAAGGATTGATCGATTTTGTGCGGTAGAAAAGCGGTCAGTTTTGGTCAAGAGACTCACTAGTCAGACACGCCAACCGGTGAAATTTTTTCACCTTCAAAGTGACGGAATTGGAGCAAGGAAGAAAATCTGGGGGAAGAATAAAATACTAATAATAGTAATAATTACTTTTTTAAAATCAAGAGTAATTTATAAGAGTTCCACATAAAAAGGAAGATTTTTTTGGCGTGCTGCGGCTCCATGTAAGTAAATAATTTCATACGTATTATCTCTTTATCATACAATCAAATTTATCATTGCAGTTTAGTATTTCTTTAGAGATTTACTTTTGAGTTCCGAAATAATTTAAATTTAAAATTTCCTTCATTCACTCGCAAAGAACATAAGGTCATTTTTTATATAGTCAAACTTAAATTCCGATCTATTCCATATCTTATCAGTAAGTTTTTTGGATCTTTTTTCTCTCACTTTTTTTTGGTGGAATACAAAAGGTTCTACAAATGTGGTACAGCCTTCTGTATTCTGCGCACGTTCATTTCATGGCGCAAGCCTGTCATGTCTACGAAGTAACTTCGGAATTCTGACATGTTGACATAACCTAATACCTAATGTTTTGATGTTTTGTTTTGGTGTAGTCAATCCACGCTGCTACAGCTATTGAATTGCATTTATTAAATTACATAACTCTTTTAGATTCCGTCACTTCACTTGAGGATATTCTCTTAAGAATATTCCCTCAAGGACTAGTAACAAAATTTCTTAAATGGTTAGCAACTCTCCTGGATTTTGCCGTCACTCCAGATAGACCAGTGACTGGTTTTATGCCCAGACTCACCTGGGATTTGTCCTTTACAGCAACCAACTGATTTAGCCGTGCCAAGAGGAGTTTTTCCTATGGACTTGTAGTGCTGTAAAGATAAGTTGTTTGACTGTGTAATTTTTTTGTTACTGTCTATTTTGTTAACTTTTCATATGCATATGATCAAGTGACTACGTTTTGATAAAATATAATTTTGATATTATTGGGAGAGGGAAAATACCTTTCATGTTTTATGAGGTTTTATTTTAATTAGGATTTCAAGAGTACTGACCAAACTCACTTTTGCTAAATATTTTTTTTAATACAATATATTTGATAAAATACAATTTTGATATTGGGGGAGGGAAATAAATTTCATGTGTTTTTTTTTTAAACATTATATAAGAAGTATTGAAGATTCACTTTTGAATGTAATATATTTAATAGAATTGTAACAGATTTATCACTTTTGATATCTTTACAATATTGTCATTAGTATCTCATATTAGTAGAACTATTTAAAGTTAAATTACTACCTTTTTGTGTTAAGACTTTGGCTATCATATGGACTATTCTTGGTGTTACTAATATTTTTATACTTTATTTGGCCAGTGGTAGTGATTATTCGCTTGTTGAGGGGCTATTAGGTCCTATTGTATCTTCACACACCCACTACCACTGTTATTTAGTTTTTGCATTATATGTAAATTGATAATACATATATATCTATCTACACATTTTTATAAATATATTTATTGTTACTATTTTGAGTTTTATTTCAGTTTCTACTAACCAATATAGCAAAACAAGATTATTATTCAGTATTTTGTATTTCAGGTTATTATCTCTAGTATCATTTGTTTTCGGTCATTTGTTAGTTCAAAATCTCAACTATCGTTGAGTTGGCGCCCTTCTTTTCTCTTCTTATTGTCCTTTTTCTATAAATTTATTCCCAGTGACCTTCTTTAGCTGTATCACATTTGATATTAACAAGTCTCATTTCGTTTCTTGTCTCATTAGCTTAGTATCCTAGCTATCTGTTTATATCTTTAAAGCCACAATCCAGTGCATTGAAGCTAGCCCGAACACTCACTTGAGATTTAGTGTCTCTTTGGTCATTTAAATTTGTTCCTCTGAGCTTAGCCATATTTTTAGTATTTTCATCACCTCTCTTCCAGTTCTTCTAGAATTTGGAAGTCTTACACTTCCTAAAATCCAATACTCCCGGAGTATTGAGGTTTCAAGATCAAAGGGACGGTGACAGAGTTTCTCATTTAAAAAATGCCCACAGAAAAAAAAATCAATTAAATGTAACGAATCACACTATTGCAGATCATCCTCAACAGTAAGAGTATACTTAGATCCAGAGCTTAATATTAAGAAATTGTGTCGTATGTACAATTAATCAGTCACTAACGAATTGAAAGGAAGAGATTGTTTTTTTCGTAATATATTTAACACAAAATATAATATTGGGTTTAGTTCACCTGCTACAGATGTGTGCTCTACTTGTCTTTGTTTAAGAGAAATATTAAACGCTGCGAGAATGAACAAGAAAAAGTCAACAAAATGACTGAGTTTCAGCTGCATAAATTAAGAGCTAAAAGTTTCTTTGATATACTAAAGGATGAAAGTTCCAATGTTTACACTTTTAGTTTTAACTGTCAGAAAAATATGCCCTTACCAAAAATACCTGATCAGGCAGCTTAGTATTCGAGACAACTCTACGTGTATAATTTTACAATAGTACAAGGCTCTTCAAAAGCAAAACTTACCAAGGACAACGTGTTTACATATACATGGACCGAGCTTGATTGACCAAAAGGTTCCTGCGAAATTGCTTCAGCAATATATCACAGGCTAAAACATACAGATTTTCCCTCTGAAGTAGATACAGTCCATCTGATATGTGACGGATGTGGGGGACAAAACAAAAATTCGACAATTGTATTTATGTGTCAAACATGGCTTGCTGATGATGCTCCTATTAACATTAATAAAATTCAACTTGTCTACCAAGTTACACGACACAGCTTTTTACCTGCTGATCGAGTTTTTGGCATTATTGAAAAAGCGATACGAAGAAAAACGACAATAATTCAACCCCAAGAATATTTTGATATATTTTCTGAATATACAACCGTAATTAAATATCCAGAATTTAAAGTAATGGATTGGAAAACAGAAAAAATTGAGATATTGAAAGGGCTCCCAAGTTGGCATTTCCAAATTAGTAAATCATCAAGAATTACAATATTACGAGAGAAGAGTTTGCGAGGACATAAAATTCTTGTTCAAGGAGAGATGTTCTACAAATCCTACACTGGAACTGCATTATCAGTAACCAAGAAAGGTAAAGCATTGACTGGTATAAATCCTGCAGTTTTACCTCCAGGTGTAAAGGTCAAAGAAGCAAAACTTAAAGATTTATATACTTAACAAACATTTCGGTACAAACTGGAAGCAAATGCAAGAGCTAGAATTCTATGCCAAAGCTTTAAACGAGAATGGGCGACAAATTTTAATGATCCAATCTGTGAACATACGGAATTAATTCCTTGTTTTCGTGTGCAATGTAATAATATAAAATAAATCCTTTCCTCTAAATGAGTATTTTCTTTTATTTTATTACCCATATACTTTCTCCACTCACATATAGTTATTTAGGGACATAAAATTTAGTTTGGATGCAAAAACGGACATGTCCAATTTTTATTCCTTTTTTTCTAGTTTACGCTTTATCCTATATTTTAAAATTTGTAACAGGATAATTTTAATTGCTTTTAAAAATTGACAGAAGAAAAAATATCTAAAATATATTAAAAAGTGAAGTTGTAAATTGCTTTTTTTTAGTTTACTCAAAATGACATAAAGTGGAAATGTCCGGTTTTGAATCTAGACCCCTCAATTATCTCACCTTGCTGTTGCTGTTCTAAGCTTTATTGTTGCAGGCGATAATTTAAGATGGTTTCGTACTACTTCTGGCCGTGCAATAGTTCTTGTTGCACCTGTATGTACCAAAAACGATCTACATTTATTATTAATACGACCCTCGATGTACAAGCTATGAATTCCACCGGAGGACGTAATGTTCACAGTTACTATGGGGACTGTGTTTCTCGAGGTAGGCAGTTGCTCCTTGGTGTCGACCCGTTCTAGTTTTTCGACTGTTGTATCATTTTCTTGCAATTACGGCGAATGTGACCTACGTCACCACAATTCCAACATCTGGGCTCGCGTCTATTCGGCATCGTGTTACGAACTACTTTTCGTACCATTTCTTCCAGACGTTCATCGTTTGGTTCGTCGCCTTCTTTAATGGTTCTTACTCGATGGCTCCGTGAAGTTTGACTAGCTGTTTTATGTTCCAAAGCAATAGCGAGCGCTTCATCTAGAACTTTCGGTATTGCTAGTCGTAAAGATTTCTGTAATTCACTTTCTTTTAACCCATTGACGAAGGTATTTACAGCAATTTTTTCCAAAATGTTGTCTGGTACCTCCGAATAAGCCAACCGCACTATACGAGCAACATCTGCTTCAAACTCTTGCAAATTTTCACTTGCTCGTTGAATTCTACTTCTTAGTTGCGCCTTGTAGACATGTTGTAGGTGGGCATCTCCGTAACGTTTGTCTAGTCGAGTGAACAAGGTCTGGTAACATTTTTCTTGACCTTTGGGAATCGATCTTAGGATATCTGCAGCATCAACTCGTAAAGCAGCAGTCAAGGAAACAGCCTTTTCTTATTTCTGTCTAATGATTGGCGGTCGCAATAGCTTCAAATTTTCTAAGGTATATGGACCAAGAGGACTTTCCATCAAATGGTGGCAATTTGAATCCCATGTGATGTGTCTTTTCGTCTCTAGGTGATTCTTCTTTCACTACCGAAACTAAAGCTACCGTATTAATTGGTGGTAGCACTTTCGTGTTAGTTATCATGCTCTCTGACTGTTTGATCTTCTCTTCTACTTTATCGAATGTTTTAGAGACTTCTTCAAATTTCTTATTTTTCTAAATACAAACTTCTTTAATTATCTGAGAAGTCTCATCGAATCTTCTAGATACATTTTCAAATTTCTCGTCATTTTGTCTAGCTATTTCTTTAATAATTTGAGATGTTTCACCGAATTTTTTATCATTTTTTCGAGAAGATTCATCAATTTTGTTAGAAGTTTCTTCAATCATTTGCGAGACGTTTTCAAATTTACTACCATTTTTTTTAAGTTTCTTCAATCATTTGCGAGACATTTTTTATTTTCGCTAAAACTGCTTCTTCTGCTGACTGGAACTGGAATGTCTCTGGGTCTTCTCCATTTTTGTTGAGAACAGTCTTCAGTCGTTCTTGGAGTATCTTCTTGGACCCGCTGCAGTCTTCATCGCGGTCTTCTAGTTGCTCACGCAACTGTTTTACTGAAAGTTCTACTAGCAACATCTTTGGTCAGGCACACACGTCCTTTTTTTAAAATGTTCTTTAGTACAAAGTTCACTATCGAACTTTGCGAATGTTCCCGATGAACAATACTTTTTAAAAGTTCAAAAGTCTTTTTCAAAAGTCACTGCCGGATTTATGTTGAAATCTTACACCGGACACCTACTGTAACGTTTTTAAATAAAACGAGCGGTTCGAATTTATATAAATATATTTATTTATAACTTTACAGTTCGGTACTATCTTATTAAGGGCCGCTTGCACCGCACTAGTATTAATCCTCGATTAACAAAACCACGATTAACTTATTAAATCTTAGATTAACTATTTGACTTGCACCGTCGTTTAACAAAACTAGATTAATTTTAAGCCATATTTCTGGTGATTTTTCTATAGGTTGGCACTGTGACTATCTTCACATGTTTAAGTCTAACCTTAAATTACTGCAAATTATTGTTTTTTTGACTGTGCTGTGGTTTTTCAAGTAGTAGTGCATACTATCAAAATTTTTCGTTTTTAAAATGGCAAATAAGGGGAAAGTATCCAGAAATCGCTCATGCAATTTTACGTTGGAAGAAAAAACGTATTTATTTACACTTGTTGCAAATTATAAATAAATTTTAGAAAATAAGAAAACCAATGCAGTTACCAATCAAGAAAAATTGAAAAATTGGGAGAAGGTAGCAGGAGAATTTAATTCAGTGTCTCTGGCAAATATTCAGAGACCAATAGAGGTGTTAAAGCGGTTTTACGAAAACCAAAAACAGGAATTGCGGAAAAGATGTGCTAATAAAAAGATGCATATTAAAGGCACTGGTGGTGACCCTCCACTTCCAGAAATAAATAATCCAACCGAAGATTTGCTCCTCTCCATAGTTAACGAGAAAACAGTCAGTGGCATAAATATACCATTTGGAGGCGACGTTAACAGTGAATCTGAGGATGAAGATGAAGTTCAAAATAGGTCAGTGAAAACTACCGCAAATAATAAAATATAAGTTGTATATGACCAACCAAGCCAGCCTGATCAATCAATATTTTATGTAAGTTAATAAAATGCCACCATTCATAACTACTTTTTAAATTAAACTTGTTAATTTTATTTTATAGGATATGGAATTAGAGTTTGTCGATACTCCTGAAATAGGAAATCAAGGACCTTGTACAAGTACAGAATTGTCACAAGACAATGTAAGTAATGTAACACTATTTTAAGAGTGTACATACATAGGTACTATGTTGTATTTGTTGAAAATTTAGATTGAATTTAAAAAAATGTTTAGTTTTAAATACAAATATAACCAACAGATACATAGTTAAACATTTGCATTTTATTTGTTTGTATTTATTTTAGATTCAGAAAAACAAGACATGGGCGTCATACACACCTTCGGATTTAGCCAAAAAGATGAGCTCCCCACTGAAACAAAAAATTGCAAATGTTTTATTAAATTCTCAAGACGAAAATATCCCTGGTAAGAAAATTAAGCAAGTGTTTTGTAAAAAAAAATTAAAAATTTTAATTTAAGGGCCTTCAACAATCAATAAAGAAACACCAACAAAAAGCTCTCGAAGAAGACCTGCAGTAGTGGTGAAATCCCTAACTTCTTCAGATATAGCTGCAAAGTTTAACAAATTATTGGACTGTCGTTTAGAAATAGTTGCATATGAAAAAAAGGAATTGGAGCAAAGACTGCAACATAATAGTACCAAACATGAAAAATAAATGTTGCTCTTAGATGTTCAACTTGAAATCGAAAGATAAAAGTTAAAAAGAATTAAGAGATCTGATTATCTGATAGAAAATAGTACAAAATAGTAAAAGTAAATGTATTGTTTTTTTGAATAAAAGTGTATTTAGCTGTATTGTATTTTTTTAACACTATATTATCAATTCATATCCTCACCTCCAAGAAGTGTGATATTGATCGCACGGGTGAACCTTGATAAACCTGAACAACCCTACTGAAGATTGGGTAACCAACCCCAGCGGAAGGTAGTGTCAGGGCAGACAAAGAAGGGAGAAATGGTCCTCCGAAAAGGGGGTTGGGCTGTGGGTCAACACCATGCTCCCGTAGAAAAATTTATGTTGCGGAAAATTCAAAGCAATCAATCGGACAGTGCTTTTGTCGACGACTTTGCAAACAAAATAAGGCTAATGATATTGGTTTATTTACTTGGAATGCTCGTACACTTTATAGTGCTGGGAAGCTAAGAATTCTATCAAGAACACTAAATGAGTACTCAGCTGACATCATAGCACTTCAAGAAGTCAGGTGGACAGGTAGTGGCAACCTGGAGAAAAAGGACTGCACTCTATACTACAGCGGACATAAGAACAGTCATACTTTTGGCGTGGGGTTCATCCTGAACAAACGAATGAAATCAACGGTCATAGCTTTCGACCCAATAAGTCCAAGGATATGTAGAATACGAATAAGAGGCAGGTTCTTTAACTACAGTATTATCAACATCCATGCACAAAATCCACTAAATATAATACGGAGGTGCTAAAATCTGAAACCACTAGAGATAATTACATGAAAATCTTAAACGAAGCGTTGCCAAAAATCGAAGAAAATTTAAGCATAAAAGGACATTGAACTAAATGTAAAGAAGCTATGCACACAGTTGCTTTAAAATCTAACAAAGATTGGTTCGATGAAGGGTGTAGATCTATTAACCAACAAAAAAATGAAGCATACAAGCGACAGCAGCGCAGAACGAGATTAACTCTGGAAGAATATGAAAATCTAAGAAGAGAAGAAAAAAGAAAGAACAATACGAAAATATCCTAAACAAGATTATTAACCACCACAATGGAAAAGACTCACGAAAATTCCATCAACAAATAAATAGCTGTACAATTGTCGAATATGCAGGTGACATCGTAATCATAACTAGGTCCACACAGTCTCTGACCGAAGCATTTCAGTCGTTGAGGGCATCTGCATTGAGAATGGAACTAAATATAAATGTTCAAAAGATCAAATATACGTGTTGCACCAGGTCAAACAATCCGACACCTTCAAGAATAATAATTGACGATCTAGAACTGAAAGGTATTGACACCTTCATATACCTAGGCTCGCTGTTGACTAAAGATAACAACATCAGCGAAGAAATTAAAAGAAGAATAGTGTTACTATGGCTTGAGAAGACAGATGGCCTTAAAGCTACCTAGAAAAATTAAAGTGACTCTATAAAACACTAATAAGACCAGTGTTAACTTAAGGATCAGAAACGTGGTCACTTACAAAGAATGAGCAAGAACTGTTTAAAACATTCGAGCGAAAAATCCTAAGAAGGATATATGAAGGAATCAAAGAGCAAGGTTTGTGGCGTAGGCGTTACAACTTTAAGTTGTATAGAAGTTTTGGGGAACCCGAAGTTGTAAAATTCATTAAGGTAGCATGCCTTAGATGGACAGGACACGTAATCAGGCGAGAGGAAGATGCCACAGTCAGAAAAGTTTTTGACCGAAGAGGGCCAATAGGACAACGAGCCAGAGAAAGACCGAGACTTGGGTATCCAGACAACCTAGAGGATGATATCAAATCCACTGGAGTTAGAAGATGGAAAAGAGTTTCCAGTGACAGGGGTGAATGGAGGATTGTCCTGAAGAAGGCTATGGCTTATAAAGAGCTCTGATGCCACTGATGATGATATATTATCTAATCAAATTAGTTAACACACTGTAAATATACATAAAAATATTGATATGTTTCAGAGAAAGTTCACAAGTATATACTAGGTATTAATTGGAAGAGCCATAACAACAACAAAATTAAAAATAGCTGTTACAGTTTTTTTATGAACATATCTTTATTTACAAATGGGTATGCCTAATTTATAAATAAAACTTAAATAAACGTACAATAAAATGGTATCACTGAATATTAAAGTTGTTCATAAAAGGTTACTATTCCTGTTAAAAATGGAAACTACATAGATCAAATCATATTCAAATAAATTGAAATGTTCCTAAACGCATTGCTATTTTAGCTATAAGTTAGCAAAATATCCATTAATTAGTTGGTGTCTGTAACCTTCATTTTCTACACCTTGTTCAGGAATGTCTTGCATTTGACCCATATTGATAAGGTAATTTAATTCCTCTTCATCTATATCAAATGGGTTTGGGGGATTGGGTTCATGCATATCTTTTGCAATGTTGTGTAAGACTGCTGTGGCAGGTATAATAGCAAAGATCATGTCCATTTTTAATCGAAGCCCATATGCCAACACAGGAAATCGACGTTTCCAGACTCCTATCGAACACTCCACTTTGTTCCGTGTTCGAATAAGAGACTCATTATATAGAGCCTGTGCTCTGTTTATGGAGTTCGCCAATGGGATAAGAAAATAATTTCTTACTGCATATCCACTGTCACCTGAAATACAATAAACAAAGTATAAATAAACAACATAGTTTTGTAAAACCATTTATAAATATGATAATAAAACAGGTATATCACTTGTACTGGTACAAAAATCAGAGAGGGAATGTGAGATTTTCATTGCAATATTGAACTTACCCAATAAAACACAATTTGGAAAAGACCCCTCTTCAAATTTACGTCGAATTCTGCAATTATTAAAAATAGTATTATCGTGGACCGAACCTGGTTATCTTCCAACAACATCCAAAAATTTTAGGAATGCATCACATATCACCTGAACGTTTATAGAAAAGTATCCTTTTCTATTCATATACCTCCTACATCATCACCTCCTACAAATTTGATTATTTTAATCTTGAGTTACCAAAAATATTTTTTTGTGTAGAAAAAATGTACAGTAGTTTACCTGGTGATTGAAGTTTGACATGAGTGCCATCAACCACACCGATCACTCGAGGAAATGCTGCTCTCTCATAGAATTCTGTATGAATTTTAAGTCTTTCTTCAGGTGTTGGCATTTTTACAAAGTCTCTATAAAGTTGTGCCAATATTATAGAAACTCGTTCTATTATTCGACTAGTTGTGGATTCATGCATCCCCATAAAGTGTTCAACAGCAGCCAAGTGCCCCGAACTTGCATAGAATCTTAGGGTTGCTAGCAGCTGATTTATGGGTGAAACACTATTGTTCCTAAAAAAACAATTATCAATTTCTTTTTCTAAATTAAATATCATATTAAAGTACCTTATTCAAATTTAATATTCACCAAAAAGTAATCGTTGTATGCTTAATACTTACAAGTCATGGGGGTATTCTAGTCGATCTTCCGTTATTTCTAAAAGCCGATGAACAGTTGATTTCATTAGTCTGAACCTTTTAAAAAATATTAATTCATCCATAACATGGAAATAATTTGACCTTTCATAAATTCGTCTTGGAAAGCCAAAATCTACTATTTCCATAATATCTAAATCGTCTTCTATAAAAATCTCTTCTTCCAATTCCAAATCCACGATTTTATTAAAAATTACCACCGTGACACCCCCACTTTAATTAGTGTAAACACACAAAAAGTATGGTTAGGTTTTTAAGATTAACATTAAACTCTATTTTAATCCACATAATTTCCAGGATTTAATTTAACAGTTAGTTAAGGTAATTAAACCTGGTTTATGTGACGGTGCAAGATAATCATGTAACTAAAACTTAGTTTAGTACTTAAACCATTGTTTAGTATAACTGTGCAAGTGGCCCTGACTCCACTAACTCCTACTATCGTTACATATATATATATATATATATATATATATATATATATATATATATATATATGTACCAAAGTTACTATGTTCTAGAAAGTTTCAACCTCTATACGTGACCGTTTGTTCTCTTGCGTTCGAGAGATCTGGCGATGGTTCTCGAAGTCGTCTCGAGATGCAACCGTTACATGGGCCATGCCGAAAGCATGTTCGTAACAGTATTATAGACCCAACACAATGAAACCTAAACAAAGGGATCTACATGCTTATTGCGATTTGGATGTTGATATTTTAAGACGTGGGTGTTTGGAGTTTCGCAAGGAATTTTTAGAAATAGCAAACATTGATCAATTTCAATATCTTACTATTGCCAGCGTGTGTATGGCTATCTATCGCTCCAAATATCTTCGACCAAACCCTATTGGTGTTGTAAAGCACGAGATAAAGGAGACGTACAGGTTGGCACCGATAAAGTGGCTGAGTCAGTTTATAATCGTCCAACATGCCCTTAATTGCGGAGAATTAAATATATGTGGTGCTAAAGCAGATGGTTATGATTCCACCACAAATATGGTGTACCAGTACCACGGCTGTTTCTGGCATGGTTACCCAGAGTGTTTTGCACCCAATACGATTATTCACGTTAATAATGAAACAATAAGTGACTTGTATGAAAGAACTGTACGGAGAGCCACAAAAATAAAAGAAGTAGAATACAACTTAATAGAAATTTGGGAATGTGAGTGATTAAAATCAAAAGAATGTAAAAAGCCCCAATTCCTCAAATTGTTGAGCCTTTAAAGACTTGCGAAACATTTGGAAGTCGAACAAATACTGTAAAGTTAACAGTAACAGGCAAAAAAACTTAGATATATAGATATTGTATCACTGTATCCAACCATACAGTATTATGATCGCTACCCTGTAGACCACCCTGCGAAAGTACATACCTCTGAAGTATACGACTCTAAAAGGTTTGGTCTAGTACATTGCCAAATACTACCGCCTACCAGCCTATATAATTCCGTTCTGCCTGTTAAAACTGACAAATTAATGTTTCTTCTATGTAACCAGTGTGTTAAAATAGACCAGGAGAATGCAGACATACTGAATCTAAAAGAATGTTGACGAGTACCTGGACCACTTTGGAAATTAATAAGGCCTTAGAGAAAGGGTAATAAAATACAAAATATATATGTG